CCATAATCTGAGCAGCGCAGATGACATGTAGCTCCAACCATCCAGTTCATGTCCGGTGTGACTATATGTGACTATATGTTTTGCACTTGTCCTGCGTAGTCATCCATTCATTTAATCAGTCACTTAGTTACTGTTCTTGTCCTCACAGAATCTAACAAACATAAACTATGAAGTTAGCCTTACACCAGTCAGTCAGTGGGCTGACAGTGAGTGAAGCAGCAGCAGTCGTCTGTGGCCTGCAGCCAGGACACATGTGTGAAGATCACTCTGCCTCATCATCACAGCAGGGCACTGAACACACAACCAACACACAATACAACCATTAAGAAATAGATGTGTGTGTGTGTGTGATGTCAATTAGTTTTGATAATCTTATCATCACAGCACCAGCACAGCATTCCTAGAATATTCTTCTACTGTCACCAGATGGATGGTAGCGTCTGAGTTGAAGGGAAGTTTGTGGTGAAATCTATTTTCTCATCTGCTACTTTTTGATTTAGAATTACTGCAGAGCAATAAACAGCAAAAAATGGTGAAAATGAGGCACACAATCCTTAATCAGCATGTCCACACATGCTGTGTATGAATCTCACATGAAGCTCTGCAGTCCACCAAGCAGCTCAGAGAAAACCTGCATGCAGCTGTTTCTGCTTCACGCAAAAGTAAATTAGCTCCAGTCAGGAAATATTTCTGACACTGTTTGTTTCCTCAACAGCAGCCCAAGAACGACTAGGATGAAAGAGCAGTCCTTGAAAAGAGAATATCCATCCAGTGAGTCCAGCAACAGCCGCTCCATCAGAACCTCATTCAACAGGAAGCGCTCATTTCACTTCATCAACATCTGTCGCTCCACAGAAACCAGCAGCAGACTGAAGTAGACGCTCTTAAGTTCAACGAGAAGTTATTAAAATCAATACATGAAATAAAAGGTTTTCTTACCGAATCTTTCCGCTCCGTGGGTCTGCGTCTGACTGACCGCCAGCTCTCTCTCTGTGTCTGTCTCCCTATCTCTGTCTCTCCCTCTCTCTCTTCCTGACGCACTCTGCCCACACACACACACACACACACACACACACGCACCGCAAATACCAAATATGAATGAAAACTCAAAGCTAAAGCGTCACGTTCAAAATCGATAGTAGTTACAACGACTGCACTTCAAGCCCTGACTTTGTTGGAGAAGTGACACCATTCAGAATGATCCTGGTCATTTCTACCATGATCTGTGTGACTGAGCTGATCACATGAACAGCATTAAAGCTGCATTAGTTAAGCAACACATCCTCTAAACAACCATCTCACCATCTTATTATTAAATGCAGTGACTTTATACAACAGCACAGCTTCTATACCATTCTAAATGAATAATGGATCATTTCTACCCTGTCTGAGAGCATCCTTGTACACTGTAAACCAAGAACAGCTGATGCAGGAGCTACTTACTGGTCAGTTTTAAGTCCTAACTAAAACCAAGGAGCTTCAGGAGCTGCTATTAGTGTCCATCACTGAGAGAAAGCTGTGCATTGTGACTGGGAAAGAGATGTATAGTCATAAAGTCATATCCAAGTGTTTTCAAGTGCTGCTGGTCACAATGCAAACATCATCAAAACATACAGAGTGAAAGATCTCAAAGGGCTGGTAGAAAGCCTGGAGGGTGGAAGATGCTGAGTAGAATCCAAAGATCACCACTTCTCCAAGACAGGCACCAAAAAGGAAAAAAAAAAAAAACTTGCTAAGCTTATGTAAAGGCTTGGCTGAGCAAAGAATACAGCTTTGGTCATCAGTTCTGTGGTTGGATTAGATAAAAATGATATGTGAAAACAGATATGTGGCTTTGGTTTAGCTAAAGGACAGAGAAGCGTTCATCCCAGATGTGATGCTTCGGGGCTGTTTTTCAGGCCATAGGCAACTATGTCCTTCGTAAACAGGATCATTAGAAAAGAGGACGACATTCAAATTCTGGAGGAAAATATCAGTCAGTCTGCAGAAAACCTTGGCAGCATGGACCCTTCCACTAAGACAATGATCTGAAGCATTCAGTCTAAGTGGTAAAGAACAGTTGAACAGGACAGAGAATCAGCATGTCGGAGTCGAGGCCAGAATCCCATCAAGAACATGTGGAGGAACCGAAGACCAGAGGGATGGAGAGGAAGGCTTCAACATCAAATACCTGGAGACCATCACAGAGGAGTGGAAGGAAAACCCAGAGGAGACATGCAGAAAGACTGTTAGCAGTTATAGGAATGAATTGAGTTTTGGACATTAAATTTTTAGTAGAAATGTAAAAAAAAAAATTAATGAAAAGGAAATAGTTACAATTTTTATTAACATCTCTAACACAATGTCTTACTGCATTTCATCACTTGTTTACATCATTTCCTACAAGAACAAACCTATTGGTCACATGAAAATTCACTACAACATCAAAATTTGGCATCGCTATGAATAATTTTATGTTGAAATGTTTCATCATGCAATTTCTACATGGCATAATAAATATTTGCACACACAGATGTCTGCAAATATGTGGTCATTAAGTTAAGTGTAGATTGCAGGTGAAGTGTTAAAAACAAGTGTGATGCCCCACCCTCCATGCAACCACAAATGTATTCATTTACATTTTTGTTTCGTTGTTGTGTCACCACAATTCAAAAAACCCACTCTGAGTCTCCTGAAGGCAAACATCCTCTTCTAGACATTTTTGACCAGACACCAATAATAAATGTATCAAATTTTTGGATTTAGTTCATTGTTGTTATTACCACTTAAAGCTGCATTTCTTGATTTTTTTTGGCCACACAATGTTCAGTTTACATATCACTAAGGATACTTGAGTTTTCATTTTTCCATCTGATAAAATAAATCCAGTATCCTTTTAATTCTGTCACCTATGCCTTAGAGACATACTGGTCTGGTACTGCAGGGAGACTGACCTGACACAGTAAAGCCGGGGCCCAGAAAACTGAAACAATCACTTTAAAGAAACAGAGATTATCCCCACATTTGCAGTTCACCTCAAGTCTGTGGAGTTTAATAACATCTTCAAACTTTTTTCGGACTGGTCTCTGTAATATGATCAGTATTTAAATGCAATACTGATATTTTCAGTATATATGAATGATACTGATGAGTGCTGCTGTAAAGTTGTCAGATTTAAACACACGTGTGCATTGCAGTGTAATATCATAGATCCTCCTCAAGAAGATCAGAATGTTCAGTTTTACTGAAACTGTTTTCACTGATCTAAGTTTGCAACCATTTTGCACTGATGTTAAATGCTATTGTGTTTGTTTATAGTCAGAGATATATTTCAGTCAAAACTGAGTCCTAATACCTTTTGTTAAAATATTTTGGCCAATACAGAGTTGGGTGTGACTGATAACGTGAGAAGTGGGAGGGAGTGCCTGACATTCAGATTTTCACACATCAGTTTCCTATTGCAACATCTTTCCTTCTGCTATAAGAGAAGCGGCTTTTCCCCTGTCAGTTACACTCATTTCTCATCTCAACCACACACAGACAGTTATCCAGCTCGTGCATCTAATATCACGCTCTGCAACCCCGTTATATATCTCCATGTTAATATTGACCTTTTGGAAGAAAGTGATGCTCATGTTGACAGTAAGTGATCTGGGAAATTTTTAAAAGAAGAGGGTGAGGATTGGATGAGGAATGAAACTTGGCAAACTTCAACAGAACAAACTCTCATATACAAATGACAGAGCAGGTGCTTTCCAGAAAGCATCCATTGAAAGTTTCTTTCTTTTTTTTTTTTTTTGTTAGTTTGGTTCCTCTGTTGGTAAGAGAGGTGGTTTACACAAGTGAAACTCCTTGTGTTGAATTTTAATTAGAATTCAGTTAAAGTTTTGGTCATGGCTCCACCTTCCTTTAAAGACACACACACACACAGACACACAAACACAGACACACACACAAACACACACACACACTAATCGAGTCTGCAAACTCTAGTTTTGTTGTGCAAAATGTTACTTTTGTCTTTTTATAGTGATGCTTTTTGTTTTGTAAACGACAGATCCACTCAGACAGTTAATGGTATTATATCTGAGTTCAGCGCATGGCTAATTACTGATATCAGTACTTAAACTAATTACAAGCAATTAACAGTTATTATGGAAACAGATAAAATCAATTATTTTCGCAGTGACAATATGTGAACTAAATGTATTAGCACAATAAGCTTTAGGGCAGCAGCTCATTTGATTGGTCACATTTTCCCAGAGTCCAAGTCAAATAACTTTAGCTCACCTGTTTCACTGAATTGAATATTATAGACAAAACTGCTTCAAATCATTTAAATGATTATTAAAACTCAGTGTTTTATCTTTAGTAAACCATTGTTGTTACTTAAAAAAAAAAAAAAAAAAAATACATAGCTCAACCGGATAAGATGGCGACCCATGAACAGGGGCTATAGTTCAACTTGGCCCTTTGCTGAAGGTCTTTCCTCCATTCTTCTCCCTTCTTTCCTGTCTCTCTTCACTGCACTGCTGAATAAAGGCAAAAGCCCATTAAAAAAAAAAAAGGAAAAAAATAAAACTATACATGTACACATTAAATAACCTTACATTAAATGAGACATTAGTTGAAGTCACTTGTAAATACAAATGCTGCATATATTGAATACATCTGCTTACATACTCACTCTGATGTATTTCTGATGTCCCAGTGTCAGCCAGTTTCCCTGCAGGCGTTTCACTTGTCATAATAGGCAAAGCTCAGGTGTTACAGTAACAGTAATAGAGGCTGCGTTCTATTCAGGTGTCTCAGTGAGTCATGACAGTGTGACAGTTAGACAGCATGCAAAAGTCCAGAAACCTGAACAGAATCCAACAGTCGCTGAATTATTTGTACCTCTGCTTTGCTTACTGTGACATGTCAGTACATTCATATAAACTACACCAGTGGAACATTTGGACTCTCTGATTAAGAGACTCTTCATGCTTAAGTAAAACAGCAACTGACACAGTGACCGACCATCAGTTCAACTTTATAAATCTTTATTACCAAAAAGCTTTTTGTGTGTAATAACATCAGTCTGAGCTGAATCAAACTAGAAGCCTTTTAACAATAAGTCTTTACCAGTAGTCACATCACAGCATAGCAGTCAGAAATATTCATAAAGTGAACCACAGTAGCAGTAAGTCCAGTTACAGCAGGAAACGTCTGTGACGTCAGCATCACTTCACCTTCTTCTTTCACTTCTCCCCCCTTAATGCTGCACGACAACGCAGCTATCTGGTGTCCCTTGTGTTTCTCTTTTTAGTCAGCGAAAGTTGCACAACGTTGTCGAGACGAGGACATTCTGAGAAATCACAGAGGTTTGGTTGATTCCAGCACACAAAGGGAAAGTGGACAGATTGACACGCAGGTGGCAACGAAGGAGGCACACAGACACACAAGTAGAAAAACAACAGACAGGCAGCAGACACACATTAACATGGTAATGCAGACAGTGATGGTGTCATTTCAATATAACATTGCTTCTGGGAATGCTTTCACACACACACACACACACACGCACAGATGTGACCTTAAAGGCTTTGGGAAATCAGACCGCTGTGATGCATCGCGTGCAGGCACAAACAAGGAAACACACAAAGCCACCAAAAAGAAATAACCGCATTAACCTACAGTGTTTCACATCATGTCACATCCTCTGCTCACATGGCCTCACCACTTGAATTTAAAAAGCCTTCTTTAGAAAATCTACAAATATTAAAAGTTGTACAGTGGAATCACAGGTTTAACCAGCTCACAGGAAATCAATTTGATATTTTTTTGGTATCAACAAACATTTTTAAGGTAAAGTTCGAGAAGATTTTACAAAAAAGTATCCCAAGTCGTCTAATATTTGACCAGTTCATAAACTCTAACATACTGTACAAATGTTACAGGAAAAATAATTTAGCTTGTTGCATATTGACGTGATTTTTGTTCAAAATGTGTTAGCCCACCATGTTAGTCACAGATCCCAGTCTGATGTTCATGTTCACAACTCCAGTGTCATATCTTCCTCCCTATCATCATCATCATCATCATCATCATCATCATCATCATCACTGTTGTAGTGCTTTTGGAATCTTTCGAATGCAGATTTAAAGGACAGGTTGGAAATTACAGCAGTAAAGACAAAATGTCAGTTTCTCCCATCTCTTCATCTTCTCTTTTTTCAAATGTACTAAAAACAAAGCACTTGTAAATTCAGTCATCCATCAGTGGTGACAGCACTGATACCAAAATCATTCATGTGTGTTCAGTACACTCCTACTCTGTGCATGAATCTTCCCCCGAACCCTTGAGCTTCAGGCAGAGAGGTGAAATTAAGAAAAAACATAAAAAATCACCTAATACAAAGTTCTTCCATGACACGACTGATGACAAATCCAGTCAAATGTGACAGTGTGGAAGACTGAGACTTATTCGCTGGTACTGGGTGGTAGAAGTCTGGCACCTTGTGCAGGAGGTTGGTGGGGGTGAAGATGGTGGTTGTTAAAGAGACTATAGTTAAATGTCAGAGGTGTTGTTCTGTGTGCAGTTAAAATGGTTTAAAAAATCCTAACCACCAAGCTAAATATATTTCAGTGAATGTACACTTCAGCTTTGGTCTGTACGACAGCTTTATATATGCTGTGTGATAAACTGTCAGCTGTCAAACTGTTATATCCGTTTAACACCTACTTTTAAATGGTATCAGACCGTTGTGTTCTATGTCATGAATCAATGGGAAGCACTGCTGGTTATGGTCAGAGTAGAATACCTCTATTAGTTTTGGATCGACCATCTGGTCTGGGTAGAACATTTACTATATGTCTAAATGTACAGTGACAGTCAACGGTTGGGACTCAGCTAAGTAAAGAGAAGCAATAGTCCACCATGACTTTAAGACATGAAGTTAGTCAGTCCAGAAAAGAAGATCCATCAAAAACTGTGGTGAAATGGGATTTCACGAGGACCGTGACAGAAAAGGAAGACCAGGAGTTCTGTCTGCTGCAGAGGACAAGTTAGCAGCCTGATAATTAACAGCTATCAGCATCACAACGATGCTTCTAGAGTTCAAACAGTGGACACGTCTGAAAATCAACAGTTGGGAGAAAACTAAATTATTCAGGCATTCATGGTGAAACTGTTGCAAAGAAACCACACATGAGACCAAGGACAAGCTTTGACTGAGAAACACACGGAATGGACAGTCGACCGGAGACAATCTGTGTCATTAGACCAAATTTGAGATTTTTGGTTCACCCAACCTAACCCGAGCTGAGACGGGATGGGCTGGACCGCAGAGTGAAGGGAAAGCAGCCAACAAGTGCTCAGTATATGTAGGAACTCCTTCAGGGCTGTTGTAAAAACTCCAGGTGATGAACTCATGGAGCTGGTTGAGCAAATGAAGAGTGTGCAAAGCTAATATCAAAGCAAAAGGAGGCTACTGTGACGAATCTAACACTAAAAACAGGCTTTTGTTTGTTTACATGTCTCACTACCAAACTCCTAAATGTGGTATTTCATAGTGTTGATGTCACTGGTTTTGTTTGACACTGTCAAAAAATAGGAAACAAAGAAACCCTTGAATGAGTGGGTGTGTCCACACTTTTGAGTTAATTATTTTCTTGATGATGTGATTGTTTACACTTTAAACTGTCAGAACATGAAAAATAGAACTTCGTATTTCTAAGAGTCAAAAGTGACAGCTCCAAATCTTTTTTTTTTGTCTTACTCACGGTCCTGAACCCAAAGATGTACAGTCTATAACAATGAAAACAAAGAAACCAGCAATTGATCACCATTAAGAGAGCTTGGAATGCTTGCTTAAAAAAACAACTAGGATCAATAAATAATTAACACAATTGTTGCTGAAGAATTTTGTGACTGATGAAGGGATTCAGAACTAAATGACTCTATCCACTTTTTATCTATGAAAGACTTTATCCATATTGCTCACTCCTGCTATGTATCATACAATACTAAGTAGCTGTGCTAACCAACATAGCATAGCATTTGCTAAAGTTTAATGTGCACCAATGTCAAGATATTCATTTAAGACATTTGAATGTTTTTGTTCCCATTACATAATGACCAAACAACTGGTGTATTCAGTTATCATACAACTCTACACATTTGTCAAAGTCACTTCATTCATGTCCAGAACACAGTGGGTTTGTGGGTCTGAACTCATTCTGAATCTCTCTCTCTCTCTCTGTTGTGCAGCACTTCCAACTGTCTGGCTAACTTAGCGTGCAGCAGTACAGCCTACCAAAACACAGTGGTTCACCCTGCGGTGAGTGTGTGCATGTGTGTGTGAATTAAGTCCAGCTCACTGGTTAGCGAAGCCACAACCAACCCCCTCAAGGACAATGCCTGTGTGTCTGTATATATCATTATATATATGTGAGTGTGTGTGTGTGTTTGTGAGGCTAGTGTTGGCTTGCGTAGAGCAACATTTCCAGTAAAGTGTCAGAGTATTGCATGCTGGGACAGAATCTAAAGATGGAGGGAGAAAGACTGTAATTTAACTGGGAGGAGGCCCTCCATGTCTGACCTGTTTATCTCTCCATCCTCTGGCCTCTCCATCTGTCTCTATATCTATCTGTCTGTCTGTCCCTCTGTCACCACTCTCTCTATTCCAGTGACCCTCTATTTATTCTCTCTCCATCTTCACCCCTTTCTCGTTCACTTGCCTCATCTCTGCTTGAACCGCTGCATTTCCGCCCCTTCTTTCTAGTCTTTGCCAGTGTTTGTTCTCGATAGCAGAGGAAACGAAGAAGAGAAAATCTGGTACATTCAGTCGCTCTGGTGCCTCTGGTCATCTTTTCTTCAGTTGAGTCAAATGATCTAGGACTAATTCCTGGAGTAAAGTTCTGCAGATTTGGTTGGATTCCAAGTAAACATTTGCAGGACCAGTGGGTCAGTAAACAGTCACAGAGTTCCAGCTCATAGACAAGCTCACTCTTAGTGTTCTGGTCAACGTTTATGCACTTAGCACTTGTCCTCTGTTCCTTGTCCCTGCAGGCTTTAAGTGTTGCAGATTCTCAAAGATATTGCAGCTTCCTTCTCAATTTCTGCTTGTCTTAAAAAAGCACTCTTCAAAATGTAACACCTGGATCATTGTCTGGTAAAATCATCCACATTTCATTTAACAATCAATACTAACACCATTTTTAAAAAAAAAAAAAAAAGAAAAAGAAAAAAAAGCTCCTTTGGTGGATCCTTTGCCTCAGAGAAAATGCTGCACGGTCACCGTAAACACGATGATAATAGAGGCTATGAAATCCCAGCATCCTCAGACGTCACCTATAGTGTTGTGCTGTTCAAGTTTAAATCGCGAAAAGACCATCAATGACTGATGTCAAATCTATGTTGTATCCACCTCAGAGAGATTCAGCATGTGATGAAAACTGGTGAGAGGAAATTGAGTCCATAGATTCAGCAGTTGAGGTGATTGACCGTATGCAGCTGAAATCCCAGCAGCTACCTCATAAAGCTTCCTAATGGATGACCGTGACTGTTTTAATCAGCTGTACTGGCAGCTGGCATAATGGAATCAAGGCTGGTAATTCATCTACAAAAGTTTGTTTCAGAAAACTGAATTCTTTTATGCAGAAATGTTTTACATGTAGCTTTGCTTTCCAAGATGTAGACAAAGCCCTGGCCACAAATTTCCACTTGATGCACTGGTCTTTAAGAGTTCTAACTTTAATCCACAGTATAGAGAGCTTATATCCAAGACTGATCACTTATGTCTCAGGATTTGGATCCAGGACATAAAGCAGCTGGTCCCTGCTGTATGTGGTCCCTGTCTTTAGACACAGCCACACTCATAGACGTCCAATCGTTCCAGTGTTTAGACACAGCCATACTCATACCACACAGTCTGGGGGTCATTGTTGGGATCAGGGGATGCTGGTGTGCTTTTAGGACGTTCAACGGAGCCACACCTTGCTCTCTCACTGTCTTTCTTTGTGTGGGAGGTGTCACCTGACCGGCCCTCCCTGAGCACCTCCCCATGCTCTGAGGCTTCATCGGGTCGTGTGGCAGGCATAGCCCGGACAGGGGTCACCATGGCGACCTCTCCACGGTGATGGGTGGAGGATGCGGAGGGGCCGTTCCGGGAGATCGGGGTCCTCCCTCTGTCTCGTTCTCTCTCCCTCTCTGCGTATCTCTCTGTCTGCAGGTTGAGGGAGGTTGAGTGGTGAATGGTTGGGTTTAGGAAGCTGCCGTCTCCATGCTGGCCGGCAGCAAAGCGAGCAGACAGCGGCCGCTCTCTTCCATTGGCTCCTCCACCTTGCCTCCGAACCACCACATCTGTTTGTCCAGGAGACCCCTCATTTCCACGGAAACTGTCTGGTCCGTTAGAGCGCAGCAGGTCAGCCGAGGCCAGACTAAAAGCCCTGCTCAGTGATTGGCTGTTTCTCTGGCTGACCGGCTGGCCTGAGGCTGGGGATTGGCCAACAGGCTGCCGGGGTGAAGGCTTCACACTCTGTCCTGGCCTCTGGTTGGACGACTGAACAGTGGGTGTGACGTAGCTGGTGGGTGTGACCTGATCTCTGCTAGCGGGCGCTGAGGGGGCGGGGCTTCTAGTGAAATAGTCAGTCACCAAGTCTTCCCTGCTTCCTGTAGACACCTGCACAGAAAGAATAGAAAAATGAACAATAAAATCAGGAGAGGGAACAGTTTACATCTGAGTGATGCAGTTTCACTGTGAACCATTCATGCTGTTCTACTGGTATACGGCCACACCTTTAGTATGTCTGCCCATACTACGGTACTTTTGGTGCTGTAAAAAAACAAATACCATCACATACCGTCACAAATTTTGACCCTGACTTGGTACCAAAGTACTGGTTCACATCCCTAGTCCGAAGTTGCTACCATTTATTCACTCTTTCCACCATGTTAATGTAAGTCCAAAGCATTATGTTTCTTTTTTTTTGTATGTTTGTGTGAACTACAGCCTATTCACCAGTGGTGTGTATCCTCTGGTGAATCTTCTGAGGTTCACATTATGAAGTCATCTCGTGATCATTTACAAGGAAACCTGTGTGTCTAGCTCCTGGAAAGCATCCTTGACTTGCTGCACAAATGTTTTTTTCTTCACCATGCAAATGATTTTCCACTCATCCACAAGCTCCTTGATCCTACAGGCCATTTTCCATTGTGTAGTTTTCATGTGTACTTTTGCCTTTTTAAAAAGTAGCTGTTGAGTTTGGCAAACCAGCGACGCAGAAATCTCTCGAATAGACTCATCATTTTATAAAGACAAACTATTATTTCTTTTAACTTCTGTGATCACTTCTTTCTTCCCCATGTTGACAGACGACTCAATGGCAGAATCTCAGGTATATGGGCATCAGTGCCTAATAAGCCATTAAGTAGCATGAAATTGCAGTAGACATGTTAAGGATGTTTTTCACATCATGGCCACTTCTCACGCTGGATTTTTCACTCCTGGTGACCGTGTCTCACTTTGTTGGACAGAGGACCTGAAGACGGACAGCTAGAGATGTCTCAATGGGTGCATTTTAAGTATTCATTATATTGCCCTTTCTGAGCAAGTGGAATAAAAATGACATGTATGGTCTGGAGTAAGATGTCTGATGCTAGCAGTTAAAAAATTTTAACGTAAGGGCGGGAATCACATCTAATAAATTATATTGACTCAAACTTGGGATTCTTATCTGAATCATCCCGTATTTAATATTTGGTTTTTACAGGAATTTGTGTTGCTAAAGAGTCCCATATGAATGCATTTCCCACTCAGCTGGATCATCAATAAGAATTATTGTGGGTGGATAAAAGGCAGCTCAACAGACTGACAGCAAGTAATATTCTTGTGCTGATTTCACAAGTCTGGATCATTCCCTACACATGCAGATGCCAAGCTGGAATAAAACAGCTGATTTATAGGTGAGACTTGGCCTCAGAACAGTGATATCAGAGGCGATAAGAAGTGCTTTCATATGACTGGGAAATGACTTGTAAATGAGTGTCTGCTGCTCCGTCAGAAACAATCCCCTTATGAGCCAGATGTCCAGTGGTGTGTAGGCTGCTATTATCTCATAAATCAAAAATGTGTCATTATCTTTTTCTTGGAAGGTGCTAAATGACGGAAACAAGATAAATCAGCAGGTTCAGAGACTACACAAATCTTAGGCTTTTCAACAACATAAAACACCTCTAGTAGGTTTCACAGTTCAGACAAAAGCCCCCAAGTAAACTCAGTCCGGTACAACATTCGGAGGATGACAGTCAGTCTTTTGAGTTTAGTTTTCGGGCATTTTGACTCGTTATTGCAGTGCAGTTGAGAATAGACTAGAAAAGGTGGGAGGAAGAGATGGCTACTGGTTACACAATGTCTGTGAAATTCATACATACAATACAACTACAATGGGTAGCTTAGATTTTTCCCCACACAGTCTCAAGCTGTGACTGTACTTGAAATCTCTAATTTGTCTTTCATTATCCATATGAAAGCAGTCTAATAATCTATCCTTGACAAGCCTCTGCAGTGAAACCTGTGGATGTTTAATACTGTAATTTCTCAATAAAAGTAAGGCAGAAAAAGCACATCATATGTTGCTCTGTTTACTCTGATATTCAACAAAACAATGGGGCTACGCTGACACTGGTTTTGCATTCAAAGGCCATTTTAATTTGCAACTTACTATAGTTTGTCACCTTTATTGTTGCTGCTACCTCTATGAACCTGCAGGGCAGAGCATTAAACAACAAAAACAGCATTTATTTCTGTTCTGTTCTCATGGCTGTACTGCATGCGCAGCTTTGATAAATGCTGCTGCACTCCTTCAAACATCAGCAGATTCTAGTGGCTTGAAGCTGCAATAATAATCAAAAGCTTGACTTCATCATAATATTTTTAGGTTTGCTGTCTTTAGAACTAATCAACAGTCCCATTTCGTCTAAATGTTCAGCCAGGGACACATTCAAAGCTAAATGAACAACAGCAGCTGGCATCGCCATCTGACATTTAAAGCCATCAACCCATTTTCTTCCGGGAGTTTGAACAATGATATGTGACAGCATAACATGGACTGCACTTATATAGAGCTTTTCTACCTTAGCAGCACTCAAAGCACGTCACAATGTTTTCTCATTCACCCATTCACACACACAGTCATACACCAACGGCAACAGAAAAAAAGGAAAGGAAACATAAGTAATATTTTTGATGTATATATTATTTAAAGAATAGTTATACTGTTTCCACCCTGAAGCTACGCTAAAATGTCCAGGGGCCTCATTTATCATCAATGCATAAGCACAGATATGTGCATAATGAGTGTGTACGAACATTCGCACGCAAAATATGGAATTTATCAACTTGTACTTATACTTAGGAATGTGCATAAATATACCCACAACTCTGACCATGCGTATGCACATAAACTAGCGGTACAATAGCGTAACTACAAATAGAAAGTATTCAGGGATTTTGACCAACGGCACATTCCAGCGTGAGGTTGGAGGCATATGCGGCATTTCCAGCCATCACTGAGCAGGATCACGCCGGCAGTGTTAGATGCCATAAGTTCAATGGCCCCAGCCTACATCCAGTTCCCTTACAGACATCACCAATGAGCCCCAACTAAACGGGGACTTAACGCCATCGCTGGATTCCCAAACATATATGGAGCCATAGACAGCACCCACATCACATTCAAAGCAACATCACAAAACGAGCTTAATTATGTTAATAGAAAAGAGGTTCATTCAATCAACGTACAAATAATTTGCGATGCACATTTGTCGCTATCAAACGTTGTTGCCCAGTGGCCTCGAGGAACGCACGACTCATTTATTGAACAGAACAGCTCTGTGGGTGTGCGACTCCAAGCAGGAGCTGTTTGAGATGGATGGCTTGTTGGTGAGTGTTACAAAGTGTGGAAATGCTTTTGTTGTGCTTAGAATGGTTATTAAAACATCTCATCTGTAGGTGATCAGGGGTATCCACTGGGTGAAAGTCGGGTATTAATTTGTCCTCAGTTGCAGTCATTTCTCTTTAATGGGCTGTGACGTGTTTTTTGCACTGAGTTTAACATCAAACCACTTTTTTTTTTTTTAATGTATTTCTGCTAGCGAACGCTCCCCTGACCTAACAGAAACAACTGTGGTGGTTATCTTGTACCATGCAGTGTATTTTTTCTTTCGCTGCTTATCCCAACATTTCACGCACCAAACAATTGTTTCTGGATAGCTTCAGCCTCGCTGACAAGTACTTCAATTTCAGTTTCCGAAAAGTTCCTCTTTGTCGCTCTCTTTGCCATGATGAAGAACGGTAAGGGGGGGAGAAATATTCACTTGTTCTATAAAGAGGTGTGTTGTTTTCATATTTGGTTAATTGGAGGTGTTTCTGAAGGCAAATGATCCTGAAAGTGCACGAGCATGGTGGTTAAGAGCAAGTGGGATTTACCAACACTGATGACTTATGTACGACTCACGTGCACATGTTAAATACAGATTTTTTTGTACTTACGCACGTTCTAAATTTCACTTGTAAGACAGAATTTAGAACTTTTTCTACGCACTGATGATAAAATGTGGCTTAAGGTCTTTGAAGCTGATTCAGAATGCTTTCATGATTTACTTCTGCTTTGTTATCAGTATTTGTCTTGGTGGGCAACCAGACCAAAATCGACTCCAGCTGGGTTTAACAGCACCATCCAGCAGGAATGTGTGATTCATGTACAAAATAACATTTGGTTGTTTTCTTTTAAGGTGACTCATCTGTGCTTTTTAAAATGTTTTCTTCAATAATGTCTCGTATTCGTCCAATGGCCTGTACAGAGTACCCTTCTCTAAAACCATGGGAACCCTGCAGTAATAACCTGTCCTCTGTCACTGGTGTTTGTTGGGTAAATATTACATACTATAGGGCAGTTCTCGAACACAAAAGGTGCATATAAATGGAAATAATAATTTACTTGTATTTATGTTTCATATCTGCAACTTTTTCCTTGGTTGTTACTATTTATTCCAACATTTGCAAACAGCAGGTGTTGTGTGTACAGACACACCTGCTTTGAAATATCACTTATACTTTTCTTACCATAGGAGGAGACTGTAGGTTGCTCTCTTGTAAAAACTGTTCCAGCGTCACCATCTCACTTCCAGGAGACGATGGACGGGTTTTACTTCTCACTCCACCTCCGCGCTGTGGTTGGGCCCTCTGGGGTGTATGGTCATATGGAAGGGTGGAACTACGTGACAGGCTCTGCTGTGATTGGCTGAGACCCATGACGTCATCACTGGACAGGCTGGCTGAGCGAACCTGACGATCAGATGTGTCTAAGACAGATAGAAATGATCGTGTTTTATGTTAGTGATTAAAACTGTGCACCACCTGATGACAGCAAGGTATTAGGACAGAATACTACATGTAAAGCCTGCACAAACTGTAACCTGAGTCACTTTAGAGCCTAAAGCGGAACTGATATGCTGAGCTATTGTTTTAACATCGGCCTGTTTTTTGCAGCGCACAACAATAAACAAACTGCACCTTCAAAGTAACCGTCCCCAATGATTGAGCTAATTCTGCAACACCCACGGTGATTACCTGTCAGTAGTTGCACAGAATGGAGAAAATGGATGAAAAGGAAAATAGGCGAACAAAAGACAAACTAGATACAACCTCAAGAAAATACCCAAGAAAAAAAGTCACGAAAATATGACGAGGCTTATCTCGCTCTTGGCTTCACAGTGAATGTGGTGGGAGGCGAGGAGAGATCCCTGAGTGTTTTATGTCAGTACTGATCCAAGCTCAACATTACACATGACTTGAGACTGGCCGTATCAAGCCTGCAACCCTGTTTTGAAAAAGTGCGCAGGGCAGAACAGGCTAATTGCAGCTACTAATGGTGTGATAAGAGTCACACATTGGCTTGTTCATCTTGTTCTTTGGCCAAATATCTGCATTTAATTTTTAATTTTTGCACTGATTGCAAAGTTATTGCACAATTTCACAAGATTTTTCTATAGTTTTTGCACTGAAGTGTGAACTGAACTGTATTGGTATGTACATGTTCTGTTCTGTTCTTATGTGTTATGGTTCTATCAAAGTGATATTTTCCTCTGTTTTTGAAGGAAGACACAGATTTATGGATTGTTATTTTTACTGATCACTGAGCACGTTGTTAAGCTGTTGCACAACTTGGCTCATTTCATGACTGTTTAAGGCGGGGGGGATCCACTGAAGGGGGGTCTGACAGAAAAAGTTTGAGAACCACTGCTTTAGAGTGAGGTCTATTATTTGTAGACAGCAAAATCTATATTAAATAATAGAAAGGTCCATCTAAAATCAGCTGTAACTGTTTAAAAACGTCTGTACCTCTGCAGTTGACAGGTGAGTTGGAGCTGGAGGTATTGTGGCTGAAGTCTGCCGACCCTGGGCGTCCTCCCGTGTTGCCATGGGGACCAAACATTGAGCCAGAGGTGTTGTGGCAAGAGTCTTCATCAAAAAGGCCTGAAATGTTTTTTCACATTGTGATAAGTACATTCATGCTTTTGCTGACTTCTACATATTTTGTCATCAATAACCAGGCCTACCTCTGGGCCTGCGACTCTGGCCTTGTCCCAGTCTGGAGCTGGAGCTGCCCAGTGAGGATGGCTGATGGCTTGGAGTGGAGCTCAGGTGGCTCTTATAGGCCTGAACTGGGGTTAAATATCATACAGAGCATATTATTTCAAATTATTTAGAAAGCAGATAATGCCTTTTATAACCCATACCACCTGGTCAGTTGTAATAAACTGTATTCTCTTTGAACTGCCTCAAATCTGAAAGTATTTGTCAAAACCAAGCCTGGTATGTGTTCTGCACTTATTCCTTTTACAGAGCAGAAAATACTTATTTCTCTTCCCCTTCCTTCCTTCCAAAAAATTAAAGAAAGTATTGTGATGGTTCCTAACTGCTGATTTCACACCTAATCCGAAATGTGTGTAATTAACTCACAGTTTTCCTATGTGACATATCCAGTTACTGATGTTAACCATTAATAGATAAATTACCTGGTCCATGTCCATCGTCTCCATTGACATTTTCATTACTACCTCCTGGAGTACTGCTGCGATAAACGCCCCGGCCCCTGTCAGTCAGTCCTGTGGACCAATCAGAATGTTGTGAGAACATTATCTGCATCCACAGTGTGACCAAGAGACACATAATCACAGGAAGCACAGAGTTGCAGAAGTGCAGAACCAACAAAACTGGGACGAGGTGTGATTGTGTTTGTGAGATTAGTTAACAGTGTAGCAACAGAGCAAAGCAGAACATTACAATCCACTCAGTGGTTCAGGCTCGCTGCGGCTTACATACTACTGGGACATCTATTATCACTCAGTTTATGTATCTGTCCATCTTATTACTATTAACACATTTTACGACTGGATTCCATCGCAGTGTGTTCAAGTATCATATTTTATAATCAGTAAATCAAACAACAGGAGACCAAGACATCTGTAAAGAATGCAGCTGCCTTCACACTTCTCACTATATGTCCCAGTGAGTCATCTCAATACCAAACGCACAAAAGGTGCGAACAAGAGTCCTAAAAATACTACTTCATTGACGCAATGTGTTTTTAAACTCAAATGACAGTTTAACTGAAAAGAAAAAAGAAAAAAGAGTAAACACTGAATCCATGTTAATCTATCTCAGTGTGAAAATGCCAAAAGAAGTCCTGTAAAGTGGCATGGATACACAACATTTCTAACAGAACACTAAAAATAAGATTTTCTCTTTATATAGCACTCTCTTTAAAACAGTCTGACATGTTTATCTTACTTTTTTGACCAAACTGGGAAAATGTATGACATCTCAGTTAATTTCAATTAGTTGTTTTCTCCCTTTAAAGTGAGCCCGCAGCGTGGAAAGTGCACAACAAATGCAAAATTTCTCTCATTTATCACAATTCTCTGGTGTCTGTCACCTACAAGGATAGGCTCAGGCTTTTCAGGTGTCTCAAAACAATCCTTATACACCCATAAGTACGTTGCAATCTAGTCGGCTACTCAATTGTCCGACTCTACATACAGACCTTGAACAGAGTTATAACGCATTGCAAAAAATAGATTCTCAAGTTCAGCTGAAGTCAATATGAGCCTTCAGAAATCTGACGTAGACCTATCCTCCAAGGCCACAATCTTTGCGACAGTGCGAAATCAACTTTTTGTTCTTTTCTGTTCAGCATGTCCTTCCTGTGCTGTGTGGAAAGGAGAGTAACACAAAGAGGAGACTCTTTCATTTATCCAACTCAAGCCTCATCTTAATTTTAGTTGAGTTTTATAATCAGTTTTGCACAGAATGAGAACTACAGACCTGACACACCGGAAAAAAAAATATATATAAGTCCATTTTTTTTTAGGACATCAGCATCAAGTGATTTGCATCAAAATGAGTAGAACTAAACTTTGTGTTTCCTGTTAATATACCTCTATCTATTTACTTACTACTTTTGTAATTCAACCTTTGAAAACGTTACGGTTTATGTGTATCAAGCTAAAACATGCACCAACAACAGCACTAAACTCTGCCTACATTTGCTGACACTAGACCCCACTTGGACTGTTGAGTAGCAACTGCAGCAGGCAGAACAGTATGAGACAGCGGTGGTGGGTGACAAGTCGTATGGTTGCTATGGTGACATAAATACAGAGAAAATTCTGCAGCAAAGCTTTGTGAAGCACACGGATCTATCTTAAAGCAACTCACAGCTCAGAACAGAATGCAATGAGATCTGCTCTTAATGAAGCCATCAGTTCTCACCGATAGATGCTCATCAGATTAAAAACATTAAGGTGGCAGTGCACACATATGCTGCTACACACACACACACAACACACACACACAGCAAACAGGAAACAGGAGCATGTACACAAACTCTTACACACATACATAAACCAGGTCTACACACACTACTTACTAGTAATACTGGACGGCAACATGCCCTTGTTTGCATTTTGTTTGTGTATCTGTACAGAGTGTGCAATGTCTGACTGTAGTAGTGTTTATAAGAAGGATGCATGACTGATGTGTGCATTATTGAGTGAAATACGGAAAGTCACAATGATGAGTGTTGATGGAGTTGACAGTGATGATGGGTATATGGTTAGAAATGATGATGAGGAGGAGGAGGAGACTAGAAAACTCCATTGGCAGAGAGAGGCTGGCTAGAGATGACGTCGGTGATGTCAGTGGAAGACCAAAATCGTAGTCGTCTGGTGAGAGAGAGGGAGGGACGGGAGGAGGGTGAGGAAGAGGATGAGGAGGTGGAGGAGGAGGAGAGGAGTTTGTCTTGACTTTTACTGCGGAGAAAACGGAAGCGTTTTGGGACAGGAGGAGCTGAGGGGGGGATAAAAGAAAGAGGAAGGAAGGAGAGATGAAAAGAATATGAAACAATGACAGTGAGTAAATGAAAGAAAACACCTGGTTAAGCAGTTATTAATTACATGATCACCAGAACGTGAAATAATAGAAACCATGCAAGAGAACCAATCAGAATAAAACAAGTAAACAGAATTTGATTGTAAAACCAGGCATTACACTCAGGGCTGATCTCAATTCACTCTGAATTTAAACAGAGTATGACTGCTGGTAGAAAGCTCAGTGTACAGGAAATACCAAATAAGAACTGAAGACAATCCTCTCATGTATGGTGGGACCATTTCTGCAGTCAATCAAGATACAGATTGTTGACAAATCGTTTTAAAATTAATGTTATTCTGTAATGAAACATTTCTATCCTGATTAATCTCACCCTGGACGACATCCAGTGGACACAAGGAGTCACTGAATGGGTTTGATGAGTATGCAAACAATATGGATCATATGCTGTGGCCTTCACAGTCACCAGATCTCAACCCAGTTGGGCACCTATTTTCTATAGACAGAGCCTTTTATCACCATCAACACACATCAAATAAGGAAATATCTTTTGGTAGAATGGCACTCCGTCACTCCAGTACAGTTACAGAGTCTTGGAGAACCAACGCCATGATGCACTAAGCTGTGTGAGCAGCATTGAGTGACCCATCGCCGTACTGAGACACTTTATGTCTGTATAAAGTTGTATAGCACATTGACTGAAAAGTTAACATAGTTGACAACTGAAACCTAAAAGAAGACTTCTAAAAGCTGCTTGTTGAGTTAAGAGTGAATTGAGCTCAGCCTCATTAGGATGATTTAGTTTAAGAGTAGAGCAACAAAAAACCCACAAACACAAATACAGTTAGGACCATGCATCTTAGAAGGATGAAAAGTTTGCATCAGGCAGTTACAGTAAATAGTGATTCTCACCTTTTTGGATGTGAATATTTTACATGTTAATATCAAGAAATATCTACTCATGAGCCTTTGTCATGTGTTGGATAAGAAATGTTCCAGTACATCGGCTTCACCTGCATTTTACATCAGTGACAAACAGGAAGCTGTCGTTTCAGTGAAAGAGAGACTTGTTGTTTTTAGGATGTGTTATTCGAAACAAAAGTATGACACAAATGTCACAGCTGTACATTTTTAGACCAAACAGTAAACCTGCAGGTTGGGAACCACTCATGTAGCCGATACAGAGAAATAAAAACCCAAAAAGCTGGATGCTCACCAGCAGAATATAGGAGCTTCATACATTAAAAAACTTAACACAAATGTGGTTACATTAATACTTACCAACAACCTCATCTTAATCAGCAAACAAAAACATACTAGAGGCAACAACATGGTGTTCAGGCAAGTTCTCACTACGTTCTCTAACACTTCTTTGTCGACTATAAACAGCACAAAACAAGGGTTTGGGATAATTTGTTGATCTAAAGCAGATATTTGTATGTTATCAGTGGATTTTCAGTATTGTGACCTGCTGTGTTGACACAAGAATAAGTGTTTGTCACTGAAATGTACAACAGCAATCTGGGAGGAATTCCTGTTGTCATTTCAGGCTGCTGTGAGTTTTTCTAAAAGCCTGCCAGCATTCCACTCTTCTCAAGCTGTCCTCAGTGACTGATTGTCCCAAACTAAAAATGTGACATCTACTGATATGCCATAGATCATGGTCAGCCAGAAAGCACAAACATGAGTTTTATTGTTTGTTGTTTTTGCAGAGTGCCTAGTGTCATTTTTTTTGTAATTTTTGGCATATTCTACTCTTTTCCCTCAAAAGGCTGAAAGTGACTTTGAGTATACACAGCTACTTTATGGTCACAAGAAAACTGTCGAGACAAGGAAATACTGACCAACGCATTCATTTCTGTTGCCACTAAATACAACCAGGGATAGCGGTGGATGTATGGTGAGATTCTTAGAAAAAAAATATATATATATATATATATATATATATATAATAGAAAAAAGAGAAAAGAAAAAAAAATGTTTTTAAATTGGATGTTGGTTTGACTTACACCATGCTTAGTCTACAGGAGTTTCAAAATCCTATCAGATTGTGACAGAAGGTTTCATCACGCACAAACGTCACAGATATTCCTCTCTCTTATCTCAGACATACACCACAGGATTGGAAAATAATGGTCAGTCACACACTATAGGTCAGGGTCATGTTGTCTCATGGGGAAGCAGATGCAAATAAAATGGGGACTGTGGTGCAGTGACTTACTTTAACATTAATAATACGTGGCAGTGAGAAAAAAATAAAAGCAGAAGGCTGCACGAGTCTGGATGAGAAAATGGTTGAGAACAAGATACGGTCAATGAGGACTGTTTTTATGTCCAATATCTATTGCCTATCTATATACTTAATATTTATTTGATATATATCTTTAATAACAAAAATGTCAGCCTCAAGGCTTAGAGTGTTTAGTATTGCTTTACAACAGTGTCTGCTGTTCCAGGTGCTCGGGTGATAATTGCAACAAGCAGTTCTGAAGGTTTCCAGAATGGATCTGTAAACTCCTTTGTGAAGGAAAAATTACTTTCTTTATTTGGAGTTAATCTTTTAGAGAACATATTGAACCCTGATTGACCTCCTCAGGTAAATGTAGTGCTTGTAGCAGATGTGCGCTCTGTAACTTTTATAGATTCTTGACCCCACGTAACCTTATTGTAGCAGGACAGGCAGGCACTCAAGGCCAGATTATACCCAGGCGCCGACTTATCTTTGTTTCACTTTCTCCCATAAATCTGGATGTGGCTCCCACTGAAGGAGGATATAAGACTAAAGGTGTGAGAGGGATCTTTAGAACTGATGCTGGCACTGCATGCATGAACTGCTGTTCTGTTAGTGTCACGTCTCCTGAATTCAGTAAACCTTATTTCAATCTAAGTCATCTGAGTCTCTGGTGTATCTCTTTGTGTCGGGTTCCTCATCTAACATCAACCCCTTCCGAATTTTCACAACACTCCTCACATTATCAAAGATAATGAGTTGAACATCAGACCAAGATCTCAGACCAGATTCCTCCTCTGGCCGTCAGGAGGGGTGAACTGGGAGTAAAGCAGTGCAAAACTCTTACAGTCCTGCACCGCGTATATAACATAAATATGTTAAAATAACTCTTTAAACTTGTTGTATTGCTTGTATTGTACATTTCTTTTTTTTTTTAACTTTTACATCATTCTTTCCTTATAAACTTATCCCGTACCACGCCTGCTAAAAATAAAAAAAAGAATCAATGGTCAAAACCAAATACTGCTAAGACTGGAAGTTCCTAATAAAAGAATCCGATAATGCCTGATATTATGTAATATGACATAAATACAAATACATTAGAAGGATTTCTAACTTTAGGTCAGAATAAACTAGACACCTGCTTTAGAACAGGTACCAGGCACTGTTAGAGTACTTGTAGTGCGGTAGAAGGGTCTGAGTGCAACAAATTCAGAGGGTAACAGATGGGAGAAGCAGTTGTGCAGTTACTGTCAGTCCTCCAGTCAGTTATATGATGGTCTACAACTCCCTCTACAGGAGTGCCATGGAGGTGCAGCTCATCCAAATCAGTGTTTTATCAGCTTTGTGAGCTTTAACATTTTAATAATAATAAACTCCATTTATAACGTTTTCTAATCATACCCGATGAAGAGGAAACCACAGATATTACTTTATCTGCAACTGTTATCATAGAAAAACTATTGAATGTGTCCTTGATAGGAAAACGCGCTGAAATTAAAATGACTCATCCATCTGCAAGCATCTGCTATGTACATTGAAGTTTTTATGGATAAGTCAGTGTGCCAGTGTGTGTGCTGTGTGTTTACCTCTGCTGATGGGTGTCAGTGCTGGACTATGGGGTCCCAGGCTGGGGCTGGTGGTGTGGTTATTATGGTTACTATGTGCATTGACGCCATCTTGCACGTCACTTCCCGTCCGCTGGGGTGGAGGGGGCGGGGTCTCTGGGGGGAGGAGGGGGGGTGTGGCAGGTAGGGGGATGTCTGGGGCACTCTTTGCTCGCTCTTTGTCTTTGCCCACTTCCTTGTCTCGGTCGCCTCCTCTCTCTCTGCTGCTCTCCTTGCGAGGTTTGATCAGCTTGGCTAAAGCTTTGGCCCCAGACCACTGACTCCTCCTGACAACATACACCAACATGTTTATCTGTCCCACCACATGTTAGACATCAATAACTGCAACAATGTAAGCAGTGATATTCAGATAAAAACCTGTTGATAACAAGGTTTTTGGATTGTTAAGGGTCAGAATGTCAAGTCACAACTGCATATAAAAACCTCTGCTGTGTTCAGCTCACTGACTAAAGCTGTCTCTGCCTAAATACGCTTGACTGAAAACATAAGCATAATTTATGGGAGGTTTATGTGTCATCAAGTCAAGCCACCCTTTACTAATAAACACTTGTGATGGTATATCAAAGTCTATAATTCTTGTATCACGAAAAATTTAAAATTGTGATAAATAAACAGTATGTTCTATCAACCAGATTTAATTTTAGAAATAAAATACTGTCACTGATTAAAATATTACTTTTTAGGTGTGGGGTCATAGAACTTGTACTGGTCCATGATCTTCTCCTCTAGTTTCTCCTTCTGACGACGAAGAGCGTTCAGCTTATCACTACAGAGACAGAGAAAAGGAACAAACAAACAAGACAAAGTATTGTAAGTTTCTGTACTATTTTTGTTTTTACAGTCTCGGTATAAATGCATCTATATTTTCACTTCATCACAGCAACCCCGAGATAATTACATGTCAAAGGTTGTGTCCACTCTATAGTGCTACTAGTGTGTAGCATACTACATGAGTACAGATGTAGTATAGTGTGCAGTTTAATGTGTAGATAGTGTTGCTGCTGTTGTGTGCAGTTACATGTATAGTTTCTGCTCCTGGTGATACAGCTCTTTGCTCTCCATGCTCCTCTCCAGCAGAGTGTGGTTCTGTTGACTCAGCAGGTTGATCTGACTCAGGAGGTGGTGGTTCTCCTCTTCCAGGTTACCCTTCAGTCGACTCAGCAGCTATTCACCCACAATCACACACGCACAGGCAAGGAAAGTAACAAAGACAATGTGATCCACAGGGGAAACTGAAGAGGTTTAAAGTGGAACAGTCCTGAGCTACAAGAAATATTTCTCAGTTGTTCATTGCTGTTATCTCTTGGTTAAAAAAGGGCCCTGTTTACCTCACAGTGGTTGTCTAGTTTGGTCATGGTCAGATCCAGGCCCTGGTGTTGCTCCATTAGCGAATCATATCGCGCCATCCATCGACTCACTTCAAGCTGGGAAGAACTGAACGAGCTTTTGAGTTCGTTCAAACGCTGCTGGAGGCCCTTACTTTGCTCTGTTTGCTGTGAATGGTTCTCTGTCAGTCTAAAGGAGCAAGAAAGAAGAAGAAAGGAGATTATGATAATTGGGCCAGATGAGAAAAGTGATGTGATTGTTAAAGTTAAGTAGTAATGCAATCAGAAGATACCCATGTGTCCAAGTTCTCCCCTGACCTCAATGACACTATGGTACCAGTGTACCTGAAACTAAGCTTTTAAAAGCTGCATTCCTACAAAAAACAACTTCTAAGGTGACTAATATTATTTTATGTGTTCTAACAAGCATCACACTATACAATCTTTTGGGCTTTTGAGATGCCACTGTGTCACTAAAATTACCACAGAATAGAGGTGCATTGAGTGTACCCGGGATTTTTAAAAACTGAAGTATAGATATCATGTTGATAATACACAGGACTCCAGACTGTAATCAAAACCGCCGTATATGTTGCTTTTTCTTTAGAGTGTGAAAGTGCAAATTTCCCATTCCTGTGAGCACATAATGATCATTAGGTTGCTATGGAGCCCCCACTACTGCTCTAGCCATTCTGGTTGAAAGTACTTTATCTTTTCCACTGGTGCAGTCCATTTCCCCTTGCCGGACATGTGAAACAACCCATTTAGCTGTTACTGTGTTCCAAAGATTAAGTGGTAGTTATTGAATTATTATATCTAATAATTATTGTAAAAAACAAAAGGAGGAGAGAGATACACCTGATGATGAGAGCGCAGATGGAGACAACTACTGAGCCAGTGAAGAAGAAAAAGTGCTATATTCAATCATAATGGCAAACACTGTACTAAGGCAGCAAAATTAAACAAATTTTAATCACAATTCAATGAACATGATTGACTGCAATATTGATGCTTAAATTGCTCGTCCCATACAAACCTCTGCACACAGGTAACGCCCACTGCAGACAAATGACTTTGTTTCAACTAAATCTAAATCTGATATTACGACGTCCCTTTTCCACTCTTATTTCACAAAGTCACTTTGGTTTAAGTTGCTGCACTACAGTAACTGGGTGGAGACTGGAGGCTTCTCTGTGCCCGGCCACCCATCCAGCTTCTACTGCATGTGAGGCATTTAGGGAAAATCATTCAGTTGTACAATCTACTGATGACCAGATGTTTCCTGTTTAGAGTGATGTTAGACAACCTCAGGGAAAAGACTATATATATTTTTAGATTAAAATATTTTGCAAATATCAAGTATTGTATTACGGGCAACTTTTACATCAAGGCAAAACTATATTACATATATAAAACTCCATGCATTTATCAGCATGCCAGGTTCATTAAAGTACAAAAAATAAGGAGTGGGGGAAGGAGTGGGACCAAATAATGTGCTGGTGTGACTGACTAAAAAGCTAATCATGAATCCTGATCGACAAAGTTGATTGATAGCTTTTTTATTTTTCTACTTTTCGACAGCAATCGTGATAAGGCCTTTCCCAAAGTTTAAAACTCTGGACTTGGTTGATGGATGTGCCAGTATGCACGTCTCTGGTCTCGGACTCAGTGATAGTTTGCTATTTTTCACAGTCAAACTGTCTACAAAACATATACATATCTTTCAATCAAAGTCTAGTTGTGTGACAGTGTATGAAAACACAGTACCTGTCCACTTCAGTTTTTAGCTGTAGATTCTCTTGCTGTAGTAGCCGATTCTTCTGAACCTCCTGGTTCAGTTCCTCCTTTTCTTTCTGTCCACGCCCCTCCTGCTCCTCCCACTTGTCCTTCTGCTGCAGCAATACACAATACCTGCAGACAGACACACAGACCAGAGGGGTTATTTCCAGCTGATGGTATCTGCAACTGCATCTTGTGCAAACCTCAGGGTCATATTTGTTTACACAGTAGGTGAGTATGGTGTTTACCTCCCTTCAGGTGTAGTGCTCACAGACCACACATCTTACCACACACAAAATTATGCAAAATGTGTGAATAAGTGGACAGGAATGCTTCAGTATCGTTTTTCTTTCTATGAGAGCAACAGCAGAATCTCTAAATGATGTCACACATGAGTCAGATTTTTCGGCGCACTGTGTTGGTTAAATCAGTTCTTGAAAATGTGCCAAAATAAGACAGTCAGTACGGGTAGATCATCAAACTGCTAGTATTAGTACAAGCCGTATTTTGACTACTTAACCACTGGCAGCGCTATATCCACTGTGGGAGTGAAGAAGTTCAGACACACGTCATATTAACAATTAGAGCAGTCAAGTTCAATACCAGCTGGACTTTGGAAACTATTGGTGAAACCTTTACAAAGGTAAAGAGGTTCATTTACAGGATAAACCCCAGACTTCTGTACTTGCTACTTAATTACTAGTATTTTAAGCAATTCTGACAAAAGGAAAAAAACACACTGGAAACAAGACAGAAGAAACAACTACAGGTAAATGTAGGAGCTAAGGGGAGTGGCAGTATTTTGCTGGACATCCTTGTTACAGATCAATAGCACTGTGACCTGCTGTTCTGGGAAACACAATGTGAGTACAAGCTGTCAATAATCAACAAACTAAACTAGACTGAGAACACCCTTAGTCCCTTTCAGAAATGCACTCCTTTTCATTTGTGTGACGGTTTCTGAAAGTATTACATTCATGTCTAAATGAGCACCCTGCTTACTTTGCCATAAAAGTCGCAACAGCAATCTTTGGCGGACCCAGTAACTTTTATATCACCTCAAACACAGCATAAGTCTGAACTGCATGCAGTCACATAAACAGTCACACACAACAATATGACACACTGATGCAGGACCTTGTGTCTATAGTAAATTGCACATCTGTACTGTGGCTCTCTCATCACTGTGGGGGTTTGTCTGAATGAAGCCGTGAGAAAAGTGACCTATGTTTGAATGATAGAATGTAGTCATTTTAACAGACTGATAACAGCAGCAAGGTATCGCAAAGTGTGTGTCCGTGTTTATGTTTCCTGAGACTCCATGCATCTGTTGAATATGTGGACTTATGTGGTCGTTATTTATTACAACCGTATAATAACTCATAACTAGAACTACAGCACAGCTACAGACAGGGCAAATACAGTTATGGGCTTATAGCTACTTTACTTCAGCTTATGTCTACATGGTTTAGAACTTCTAAAATAGCACATACTAAGTAATTACTATCTAAAGTTTTCAGTAAGTACATTTGCAAGCAGAAGCTCAGCCTTTACATTAACAGAAGACTACATTTATCTCGACTTTTGTCCATTTAAAGTTTATGAAATGTTTGTAAAACAATCACTGTGTTGTGTGCTTATTTATCATCTGACTCTCCTGCCGCAGTTAGACAAAAGTAACATTAGACACGGTCTATAAAAAAACTTAAACCATAAAGGCCCTACTGAGCTCATTACTCCTATATTTTCCTCACCGACCGTGTTCTGCTCATGTGGTTATCTCACAGTGTTACACAAGGACTCCGTAAATAGAAAATTACCAAAGACCTTCTTTCCTGACACTTAAAATATGTGACAGAGCTGATCGATTAGTGCAAATTATGCAACTGTGATGCGATTGTTTTGACAGATATTGTGAATTTGTTTAATTCAAGGTTTAAATATTCACTGTGTAACAGATTTAAAACGTGATGGATCTTTACCACATTACCACACAATTTTGATTTTGAAATCGACTCATTGTTCAGCACCAGTATGTGATGCTTTTCACTTACTTGCTGTGCAGCGTTCTTTGTTCGCTCTCCAGCGCCCTCTGCTTGCCTTTCAGCGCCGCATGCTGGCTGATCAGTTGCTCATACTCGTGAGCTTGTCTCTCATGAACACTCAGCAAGCGTTCATGATCGCTGAGCACACTCTCTCTGCCTCGCCATGCCTCCTCACGCTGCCGCTGCCATGACTCTACCTCTGTCTCCAGGGCAGTGACTTGGCCCTGCAGCACTGCATTTTGGGCCATGAGAGATGCACTCTGAGAGGCGAGAGTGGAGTTTTCCACCTAGGGCACAGGGACAATACAGTGTCAAAAATACACACCACATCAAGTATTATATACTGTATTTACAATGCTCCTATTCTATGCAACTAGTGTAGTTTTACAAAAAACAAAACTCAGGTTTGTCTGAATGATGCCTGTGCAGTACCTGCAGTTTTGCTGTCTGTGTATGTAAAGCTGAATTCTGTTCCTGCAGGGTGGTGGTGTTTCGCTGTAGCGCCACCATCTGGTTGTTGAGAGAGGTGTTCTGGTTGTCCAACTGTTTTAGCTGCTCCTTTAACAGACTGCGCTCTGTCTGCAGGGAGGCATTCTGCAGAAAATAATGACACCAAAAATGTAACACTCAGGGAAAAAATGATCGATTTTGCGACTGTAACAAAAACATCCGTATGCCACATTAATCAGAAGCTCTAATTTAAAGAACAAAATACAGTACATCAAGTTCAGATGAGCACTATGAGCATGTAAACAGGGTCCAATAATATGTCAAGACAAAATTAAAGACTGAACTAGACGAAAAGAGAAAGAGAAAAGAAGACAAAGAGAAAATGAAAATATATTAAAGTAATATATTAATATTATAACAATATAAATATATACAACACATAATAATTAGAAACATGAAAAAAAAATGTTATGAGATGCACTTTGTCATTTTTATTCACAAATAAGAATCTTACATTCTTTTCTACATCAATGAGATGATCTTTGATTCGAAGCAGCTCAGCAGTAGCATCCCGGTTGTTCCCTGAGCGCTGCTGGGAGTTGTGGTTTTCTTCCACCTCTTGCTGCTGACGCAGGGCAGATACTGTCTGTCGAACCTGCAGATTTTTCATATTGATTGTTGTATTGCAGACACATCAACAAAATAAGGAAAGAAAGTACATTTATGAAAGAATCTGAATGTATGTCCTTACAGTGGTGAGTTCTGTACGAAGAGTAGTGTTGAGTGTGCTGCTCTCTTCAAGTTTCTTCTCCAGATTGGAGATTTTCTCTTCCTTAATCTTCATTGTCTGTTGAACAGTTTCCTCCAGTCGAGACTCCAGCAGCCTGTACTTGCTGACATACACACACAAAAGAAATCATTTACTTAATTACCCATCTGAGATTCATTTGTATCGATGATTAAAGAGGATTAATAGTCCTGCAATATGACCAAGATAGCAGCATATTACAGAAAACTACCTGTCCTCCAGTGTGTGCTCTTGTTGCAGTAGTCTTTCTCTGTTCAGTCCAATCTTTTCCAGTTCTTCATTTAGTCTCTCTAACTCAACACTCTGTTGCTGGACATTCAGCTTCTCTGACACCAATTCCTGTACAAAGACACATGACACACAGCGATAAAACTCTGCAAACAAATCTACATTTCCAAACAGCTGCTAAAACATTGGGGTAAAAACTATATATATACTGGATGTTGGGTCAATATTAGTAGTTTACTTCAATACTTTACAGTATTTATCACACTTTTCAGGAATATTGCTTTGAAACTGTGAGTACATTCTGAATCTTGGAATGAGAAGCTGATGAAACAGTAGACAGTTAAGAAAAGTCACTAGGTCAAGAATGAACTTTAGGATCAACTTTTGAGACGACATTAGGAAGTGCTGATGTACAGCTAATGAATGGATATTATGGTTAAACTGTTTTAACCTGTAGTTGTTAGTGGGAAACTCTAAATCTACAGACTGATTCAGCTCTTTGATCTTCTAAAGCCCTGTTGTGTTACAATTCCTAAACAGCCCATATTACACATACTTATACATTAATAATATTTTTTTTTGGCCTACTAGAAAGTGTTTACATGCTTTAATGTAAATCATGATGTTTTTCATCCTGTGTACATGCAGAGGGACTTAACCCCGGCAGTAACAGCTTTAGCTATAGGTCATGGAAAAGCCTGGACTTCAAATGAGATGTTTCAGGTACGCAAAGAGCAGTGTTTTCCTCTCACCTCTCTCAGTGTAGCCAAAGTCCTCTTGTCAATAGTTGCTTGTTTCTGAAGGTCTTTGTTCTCTCGCTCCAACTCCTTGGCTTTGACTGCCACCTCCTTCAGCCTATCCACTTCCTTACTCTGAGCTGCACCTTCTTTTACTACTGTTTTCAATCGCCTGTCTTTCTCTTCTAGCTCTGTCTCTTTCCCTTCCAGCAATGTCCTGATTCTCCAGCTCTCCTTCTCCAGGAACTTTCTGCCCTTCTCTGACTGCTCCAAGTCCAGCTGGAGCTTCTTCCTCTCCTCATCTCCTTCCTCCCTTCTTCTTCGCTCCTCCTTCAGTTCCTCTACTTCCCTTTTCAGTTCCTCCTCTCTGCTTTGTGTCTCCCGCCTCTTTCTCTCTATCTCTACCCTCTCCTCTTTGCTCTGTTCTATTTCCTCCTCTAAGCGATGCTTCTCCTGATTCAGAGCAGCCAAGTTCAGCTCCAGCCTCTCTGCTCTCTTCCTCTCTCCCTGAGTCTCTTCACTGGCCTCTTCCAGCCTTCTCTTCAGCTCCTGTGTTTCTCTCTGTACCTCCTGAAGCTCTTCCTGTAAGGTGGGCAGGCAGGCGGTTGTTGAGCGCAGGTTTTCCAGGGAGCAGCGGAGGTCCAGGTTTTCCTTTGACAGCAGGCTGTTTTCTGCCTCTTGCTTCCCCAGTCGCTGCAGCTCCCGCTGGGCCTCCTCTGCCTCCCGCTTCAGCCTGTGCACCTCCTGCTCCAAAGAGGACACCTGCTTCTCTAAAGCCTCTGACCGATCATTGCATTCATGTAGAGATGCCACCTGGAGCCAAACAGAAAAAAAGTACATCTTATAGAATCATTTCTGCAGCAGTCACATTCATTTTGACTAAATAAACATTATTATTGTTGATGTCATTACCTCTCTGGTCAGAGCGTCCCTGCTCCTTTCCAGCCTGGCTGCCTCTCTCTCCACCTCCTCGCACCGCCCAGCTCTCTCTCTCAGCCTATCTGCCTCCTCACTGACTACTTTGAGTTGTGTTTCCAAGCTGGCTAATCGGGAGCTGGTGTCTGTGATGCTCTGGTGCAGTAAACGATTCTTAGCTTCCACCTCACGGACTCTTGCCTCGCTGTTGGACTGCGCGCGTTCCTGAAGGGACCCAACTGCATCAGACAGATGCTGCTTCTCGCTCTCCAATTCTGAGATCTGATTGGACATGACAAGTGGAACAGGGTGTCACCTGAAGATGCATTTTGGTCTCTTGTTAACACTGAACAACACTTTATTCCAGTGCAGCCGTGCAGACTACCTGTCGATCCTTTGTTGCCCTCAGAGCATGCATCTCTCTCTCCAGACTCTGTTTTTCCTTTAGTAGCTCCTCTCCCAGACATTCCATGTCCTGATTGGTCATTCTCTCCTGGTCCAGCAACCCCTGGAGGCGCTCCAACTAACAAACAAACATATCAGCACATAGTAATAAGTTATACAAATAAGTAGTACGTAGTTTAAAAAGTTAAAATATGTTCTGTTGTACAAAAGTTCAGATCCAGGGTTGTTGAGATCATCTCAAATGATTCCATCTGTAGAATTGTCCATTGCTGTATGGATTGCTGGATGTTTTGACATTAACTGTTTAGAATTTTAAATATCAAACTTTATAAAACACTTTCCAGTGGTTTCTGTAGCAAATTAACAGATGGATGAAATAAAAAATAATCAAAGATGAGAATTGATATCCTGATTTTTTTATTTATTTTTTTTTTTAAAGGAAAAAACTCTAAAACCAAACAGCTACTACAATCTAGTTGTCATTAATCATTAGTTTGCTGAGTCACAGTGTCACGTGACTAATCAATGTCACCAATGTCAGAACTTTTCAGGCTCTACACATCCAGGTCTCCTACCTTGTTGCTGAGACTCTGGTTCTCCCGATCCAGCTCCTGGGTGTGGAGCTGCTGCTCCTGCAGGACGTGGTTGTCCTCTTTTAGCCTCTCTATAGAGGCTTGCAGCTCTCGGTTCTCCTTCTCCAGCTTCAGCACCCGGCTGGAAACACACTCATTCAGCTCGTGGACCAATGACTTACGAGCTGCAGCAGAGAAAAGTAATTCAGTTAAAAAAACAAGAATACAGACAACAATATTTCTGTAAATACAAATAGAGAAGACCATAACAGAGCAGGAAAGTGGCTGTCTTACTCTCTGTGTTAGTGTTGTCATGGTTCTTGGTAAGCTGTTCCAGCTCCCAGCCTAGATGAGCTGACTCGTTCATGCTCTGTTTCTGTCCGATCTCCAACAGCATGTTCTCCTCCACCAGCTCCTCCAGCCTCCGTCGTTCATTGTCCCTCTCCTGCACACACACAGAAACACACACATTAGGAGAGTTACCAGACACGTGTAAGTACTTTCACATATACTAGACAACATTCTGTCCTGACCTGTAAGGATAAAATAAGGGTCCAGGAACAAACAAACATTTGGCACATACAGTAAGACTCATTCCAAATGTTGACATACTTTCAGTTCAGCATTTAAACGTCAGATGTAAAGGCATTTATAAGTGACTACACGTGACATTATGACTTGATGAACTGTTCATGTGTATTGTATAATAAACATATATTAAGGTCCAACAAACAAGCAGAGCTACAGTGTAATACCATTTCCAGGTCGTGGATTTTAGCTCTTAGTAGCAGATTGTCTTTCTCCAGCGTGTGCAGTTTATCACAGCGCCCCCTGGAGGCCGACAGCTGCTCCTCCAACAACACCTTTGTTTCCATCAGAGTCATGTTGTCTTCACGAAGCTCCTGAATGACCAAACACACACATACAAATACATTAAGGGGACTGTCAGGACCAGCTGCCATTTCAGTGTGGCTTCATATTGTGTGTGTGTCTTGACTGTCAGAGGAAAGGGCCAAGTGCAAAACATTTCAACAACTCAAAGTACCTCAGTGCATATTATTAGGGATTTTAACGGCTGTATTATGACAAGAGATTAACTACAAGAGAGGACACACACAGATATGTGTGAAAATATCACAGAATATAAAAAGCTTTGTTACGTGAAAAAAAGTTCTGGTACAGGAAATGAAGGAGTCACTCATAATGTCTACAATCCAGTCTTCCTGTTGTGCCATATGCTCGATGGACTGCACGTATATACCGTTGTAGCATTTAGCACACATTCAAACACACATGCGCACGCTATTTGTATGTGGACAGGAGGAGCCAGGGGACTGAACTGCCAACCCAGTAATGAGAGCACAATGCAGTCTACCACCGGAGTCACAGCCATCCATACTGTGATGTTTAGTGCAGCGGTCTTCAACCTTTTTTGCACCACAGACTGGTTTCAAGCAAGACAATTTACTACGGACTGGTCATTGCGCACATAACAAATAGTTATCGTTTTCTCTATTAATAAATTGTACGAAACTAATAAAATTACTTTTTATTGCTACATATGTATTTACTTCTTCTTCTCTCTCTCGTCTCTCTCTCTTTTCAAAGAAGACGGGAAAAGTTCGTTTTTTTTAATTCAAGTGTGGAAACAAGCACAGGCGGAAGTCAAGGGAGACAAGCTAATCATTTTTCAAAATAAAACATCCCGCAGATGCAGGCGAAAATAAAATAAACCAATAAAACATTTTAATTCTTTCTGTGCGTCCCAGTACCAAATGACCCACGGCCCGGTACCGGTCGACAGCCCGGTGGTTGGGGACTGCTGGTTTAGTGTATACTGATGTGTGCAGCTCCAGTTGTACCTCCACTCTGGTCTTGTAGAAGTGCACATCATTGAGCTTCTCTTTACATCTGGTCAGTTCCGTCTCCAGCCGGTCGACCCGAGCTGCTCTTTCCCTCAGTGAGTCCACCTCGTCCCGGTACACTCGGACTGAACGAGCCTCACAAGACAGTGACTGGTTCTGAAACACACACATTTACAAACATATTTAGCATCACTTTCCATGAACTTTCTTAATATTAATAACCTAGATGTAATAATTTATCCTCAATATTAACACAGGAGACAGGAAACCTGCAAGACCAGGACTTAGATTTGTATTACTGTGTGGATTTCCGGAGAAAATAAAACTGTGTACAGACATATCACCATGTTTTAACCTGTTCTGAACTGCCGTAGCTGAATGTGTCAGCGTGTAAGTTTAGATGACAAACTGATGTATGGTAGCACTTCTTCTAGTGAGTGTTTGTCGAAACTTCTCATTGCAATGCATGCACAAAACCAGGAAAAGACATAGACCATTCTGAGCTGCTCACAGACATTTACTTGTTATATCAGATACATCTATTTTATCCTTGTAGTGTGATGAGAAGGGAAAGGTTAAAAGTGCTCGCTTTGTATATTCATGCCAGCTGTTGAATAATACCCAGCAAAATGTTTTGTCTGCAACATGTGAGGACATAGGAGTGAAACCCTTGTGTGTGTTGGACTTTCTATGCAGCAGGTGAGTTCCAACGGCATGTTAAGTTTAAAAAAAAAAGTCAAAATTTGACCATTTACCAGAGCCACAAAATGTAGAAAAAGAAAGAATTGTTGGATTTTACATATTTCCCACTGTCCTTGAACTAATCATCTGTGAGAAAACTAAATTTCTAACTTCGAAACTAAAACATCTAAGAAACCATTTGTCACTCAGCCGCAACCAACAGTCATGTGCCAAAAATTCAGGGACCAAACTGCATGCTCTGTTTAAAGAGCAGAGATTAGAGATGAGTATGGAAGTAGTAAAATAAATACAATCAGTGTAGTTAGTCAAAGAGGTGGCATCCCTCAGTCTGAAGCACTGAAAGTTATTCCACCAAAGGAAGTGAAGCGCTGATGTGAAGAAGAATCACTGTTATATGCTGCTGCAAGACGATTAAACTGACATCTGAGCTTTGTTATTTCAGATGCTGGGTTTAAAGAGCAAGATTTTCTTGCAAAGTGGAACATTTTTCATGAAAGTTTGATTTAGTTCATTCTTGTGTAGAATCCAGACAAAGTCATCTGCTGCAACCCGAGACTAAGACAAAAATAAACAGTCAAGCTTGTTTTCATTCGATTTTTTTCCATAGTTTTCCTTGACCGGGCTATTCCTGGCCCAGAACTGGCCTTTGGGGGTTAAGCACGCATGACAGTCAGCATGATCAGTACAGTCAGTGCAATAAGGCTCTGTTAACTAATCTGACAGAAACCCATCCATTATCCTGTTATTGCTAACCATTTGATCAACAACAATGTATATTATGCATAAGTGAATGAAACTACAATTAACAAAAATGGGGGCAAAAAATGTAATCGCTATTGTTTTTCTTAATTCCTGTCATTTTGGCACTTGTGACTTTACTTTGGCACCGGCTACAAGCTTTTTCAGGGGGCTTCAAAAATCCCTCTGTGCTGAAAAAAACCCTGCCTTTAGTCAGACAGATCTAAAACAGCTGTTAGTAAACACGTCCTGACCTCTTGTTTCAGTCGCTGTAACTCCTGATCCTGACGCTCCACTTCATGTTTTGAATCCATCAGCTGCTCTGTCTTCTCCTCCCTGCAAACACACACAGACACACACACACACACCTCTTTAATTAAAATCACTCATTAGCCTATATAATCAGTCCTACACCCTAGTAATGTCTACATAGGTTGACAGTAATTGAAGAGTCTGACAACAATCACTGCTGACACATACAGTGGACTTGTCTTACTGTAAGTCTTGATTATATTTGGTTAAAGAACACAGACAGCATGTTCTGCCGAATGACTTTCAGTGGCTGAGAGTGTGGTTGGAGTGTGTAGTTATTCTCCAAATAGATGGATCGGCTGTGTGATTACACTGTGGATTTATCAGAATGAGACAGCGTAATAAGCTATGTTGGTTGTGTAATGACTTCCAGCTGCTGCTTTTACCGCCACACTGCAGCCTTAAAGCAGTGATAGCCACAGAAACGTTTTAGACTGCAACATCCCACAGTGTGTAATGAACGGCTGTTTGAGTCACACTACAAGATTTATTTGCCTTGAAAATTTTTTTTACAACTTATTAGTATCAGATGGACTTTATTTTAGCAAATTTTTATGAATGTTTGTGCATATGTTCTGGAATCATTATATAGGTATTGACTATTTAGTTGGATTGAAAGACTCACAGCTCCTGTCTGTATCTGCGGAGCTTGGCCTTGGTATCAGCAAGCTCCACAGACAGATGCTGCTTCTCCTCTTTGGTCAGTGTGGACACAGTCAATCCACCGTTCACTCCCACTCCTCCAGAACCCTGGCCACGCTCTGGGCTGCTCATGCCCAGGTTCCTGCATCCTTCCTGGGGCTGCTGACTGGAGAAGTAGTCCCTCTCCTGGGTGAGATCCACAATCACCTGGAAGGCAGGTTGACAATTTTCCCAACTTAGAAACATTGTTGGTGTGTTTGGGTGGAAAACAGCTTTGCACTGTTGGACACTGCAAATCTCTACTTGAGTCATAATAATAAAAAATACTGTCTAACAGAACCAGCACAGTGACTCCATAGAACCAATACAGATGATACGGGGCTGCAAACAATGTAGGGGAGATGGTAGCCCTGGGATCACAAGTTTGTACCCAAATGCTGTCTTAATGTGTCTCTGTACCTCACTGGCTTTGTCTCGCTGGTCAATGAGTTGCCGTAGAGACGCAGCCATGTTACGGGACAGAGGTTCAAGCTCATCATGAGCAAGCTCGGTTCCTTCCTCCAGCCAGGACAGGTCAAGAACATTCAGCTGGTTGTGGGTCACCTGCAACAAACAAGCACATACACTAAATATGTTGCAAAGGACAGAAAAACGTTATTTACTTGTACAGTGGCTTAAAGCAGGACAGCTGGATGTTTAATGAATTATTACACTCCCACTGTTTTCCTTGCTAAAGTAGCTTACAATTTAGATTTCAAATTCAGAAACATTGAACTGTCTGACAGCACCTCATAGCATTTTCCTAACCCAAACATTTCACAGCTGTACCATTAATTAAAACCTTCTAAATGATTTACAGTTTGTATGCTCATTAGCTCTATAATGTGGCCTGACATGTTTGACACATTTGGAAAACATGGGACAGGCATTTGAAATAATGAAGCTCTGTGAGTGCATGTCCACACAATGTACTCTTTAAAGCATCTGTGGGGCTGCAGAGGTTAACTAGCATCGTAGCATCAGTCACCTGACCTCCTCATGCAACACTCTGTTCATTCAACAGAATGGTGCATGAGGAGACACAGAGGGCAGACCTGAGGCTAGGCTGAAGTAAATAAACAAGCAGTCTGAAAATAGGAAAGAACTTAATGAAGAACCACATTTCTAACAAAATGGACGGAGCTTTTAAATGAAATACTGTTGACCAAGCTGTTACTGTTATTTGATGTCAGCTTATGGTGGACATGTTTCATGCTGCATGGAGATAAAACAAAGCAGCTGGATTGTTATGAACAGAATAAAAGTAATACTGACCTGATGTAACAACTGTTTCTACTCAACCTTGCATCTAGGATAACACAAACTCTAAACACAAAATGTCATTGAAATGTCATTGTTTTTTTGTTTTACTGTTTCAGTAATTTGTTTAAGTAAAAGAGAACTTTTCAGTCCTGATGTAATTACTCATGGTATGTAACCGATCACGTTGTGCTGTAGGTGGGACATTAGTCAAGATCATGGAGTGACTACAGACAAACGAGGCTACATCAGAGCCAATGTAGCGCAGGTTTAAGTCTGGATAACTGCAGGCCGCAGATGCTCACTAAGAAGCTACTTCCCAAATTTCAACAATGCGTACACATCAAGCTACCTGACTGACTGATGCAAACACATGATATCAGCTGTCTGTGAACACCAGACCAAGACGGGCCACAGTATTGACTACAAAGAGGTCAAAGGTCATCTGGAGCTAATGAAGATCACAAGATGTGTTTGACAGCATCTAAGCCTGAAAAGCTAGTAAACAACCAGGGAGTTGAAAATATTCTGTCAAATTACTGCCAGTCTTTAGTCTTCACAGGTCAGATCATGATTAATATTTTGTGCAAGTTAAAGGAAATGCAGTGTGTTCGAGATGATTTTCAGTAATCTTTGGAAAACAATGCAAAAAATTACAAACTATGTTCACTGTAGGTTTACTTCTAACATAAGCTAAACTTTCATTATGTTCTACCGACCTCCTGTATGTGAGAGACAATGGCAGCTTGGGTCCCAATGTCCAGCAGCTTGATCTTCTCTATCATCTCCTCCTTACGCTCACACTGAGCATCCACACACACACACACACAAGGAAAGAAATATATAAGACACATATTTACATAAAATATTCTATATATAAAAGTAGTTGTTGTTCCTCTTTGTTGACATTACATTGATGACAGCCGAGCAGAAGAGGAAATAGAAAATACAGTTTTGTGCAGCAAATTTGTTTATGGAATGGTTGAAAGACTTATTTTGTCATCAACATCAATAACATGTTCATGTGGCTTTATCCACCCTTCCCTCCCTCTTGTCTTCCCATTCATTGCTCCCTCGTGGCCTTCCTCTTTTCTGGAACCAGTCAAACCAGTACAGGTAGGGAGGCAGACAAAAGGAGGCCAGACAGAAAGAGAGGGAGGGAAATTAGGAAGGAGGGAGTGAGCACGGGGAAAACAAAGGAAAACAAGGGAAAGATACGATGAAGAAACTGTTTGATCAGGTAAGAATCAGGAAGAGGTAGAAACGAGACAGAGACACAAAAACCCCCTACAGCCCCACCTCGGACATGAATAACCCCTCCTCTTTATTTACAGGCAACCCAATTAACTCTTAGCTCACCACATCTGGCTCATTCTAAAATAACATTGAGGCAGTAGGATGATTTGAAGAGGGAGGATGAGTAGGGATGCCTTAGAGAAAATATGACATCCTCCTTGTTGAACTGCAATCCCCCCTGTGTGTGTTTGTTGGTGGCCTGGGAGCAGGAGGGCGCTCCCACTGGAACATCCCCCCTGTTAGAAAACAACAAATCACCTGCTGCACACAGGGTTACTATAAACGAATCTCAAAATTTGCTGGTTTAAGCTCCCATACTGGGAACCTCATTGAATCACACAAGTATGTCAACAACTGTTGGTGTCCTCAAGCAGGGCTTTCAAGTTGCAAAATTGTTCAGATTAAATAACCAACATTTGATTTCCACAGTTCTACTGACTTATTACTGCCGTAAATCAGTGATGTGTTTTTAAATCCTTTAGTCCCACCCACATCCAGTCCCACCCTGCACTTCATCAGTCAGCACAGTCAACAGCTGTGCTCAGACATGCAAAACTGAAAGAGACAAGTACAGTTCCTGGGAGAGGCTAGGCTGCACAGTGAACTTGTGTGTGTGTATATATATGTGTGTGAGCATGTGTGTTACCTGCACTGCACAGCCTAGGATCAGCAACAAAAGCCTTTTCAGTTCTTCCATGCTCTTGGCTGCAGGAACAAAACACAGTGACATCAGAAACAGTATGTCAGCAATCGGGATACGGCTGAACAAGCAAAAGAAAAGGTTAAGAAAAGTCAAACCAGCAAGTCTTTGATGGTAATGTTCTAAGAAATGATCTGAAGACTGATAGTGACTGAGACTGAAGCACACCTCAGGCAACGACACAGAATACAAAGCTACAGCTAATCACACACCGCTGACTGCAGACCCGCCATTATTATTCTTTCAACTGTAATTTAAGAGTAAAAGCAAACTGGTCTTGCAGCAGTAATTCAAATTTTCTCTAGAAGCTATTACATGAGATCATCAGTACAATAAGAAACATCCACGTTACAAAATACGATGTTTACCTGTTTTAATGCAAGCCTTAGGAATAGCTCACAGCATTAGGATGGTAGGATAGTAACAACCCAAACATGTTCAGCGATTATAAATACAGTTAGCGATTAATAATAGTCTTTTATACATCCCTATCAGAACACATTAGGTAGAAATGTACAGGACTGATTAACAACAGGGTGTATATTGTGTGTTGCGTGATACCTGATATTGGGTCCTTGGCGATGCAGAGGATGTTGGGAAGGGGCATGACTATTAACTGCTGTAAGGTCTCCTAGGGTTTGGGCAGAGCACAGAAAGAGAACAAGTAAATGGACTGCACTTATATAGCACTCAAAGCACTTCACAATGTTTTCCCATTCTCACACACATTCATACACCAATGGCGACAGCTGCCAAAAATCAACCGTGATAATCGGGCAGGTTGAAAATCTGTTGATGCCTCGTTGGACAATTGTTTACATTTACATTATATATTAAAGTTAGAGAACATTTTTGCGACAATTCACAGACTCATGCCAAAGTGTCTGCTAGGCTTAAAGCATTGGTCATTTAAACATTCAAAGGTAAATTTGGCATGAAAACTTTCTGACATTTATTTGCAAAACTTGTCAGCAGGTAGATCATTCATACGTAAACACCTGTAGCACACTAGGAGGTGTCTGTGGACTTTATCCTTTCAGACTTTCATTTTAAGACGGTCGCACTACGACTATCACTGAAGGAAGATATAGCATTCATTGTGCTTTATTTCTGTGCCATCAAATTTGATAGAGTTGCTTTTTCTTTTCTTTTTTTTTTTTTTACCATTTTCTGAGCAGGTTAAATAGCATTGATGTGATTCATTGTTATACGGCTAGGTGGAGGACTGGTGATAACGATAAAGACAATTGCTGTGCTTTCCCAAATATCAACCACGGTAGTTCATTTTGCTCTTACAGTTCAGCTGCTGTTACAGACTAAATCTGGGGATGTTTTTTTAGGTGGACATTTTAAAAATAGCTGAGAAGAAAATGGCTTAAAAAAAACAACAAATAAACTCCAAGTGAAAAACACAGAGCAAAATCCTCACCAGTGTAAATAAGCACACAATAGGACAAAAAAAAAAAAAGAATCAGTAATGGTGAGTATTTCAACAGCAGCTTATTTACTGTGGTGCATAGTGACATTAACAATGTGTGTTGTTAGCTGACAGCGACTGCCTGTTGCTCTGCTTGACTTTACAGGCTCAAAACAAGTTTTGTTGAAACAAATCAAAGTCCAGCTAACAACTGACCCAGACACGTGTGCCAATGTGTATAGTGTGTGTAGGTGTGTGTCTGTTTGTGTATGTGTATAGGCAAGCAGCCAACAGGAAACACCCTGCTGTCCACAAACTGTGTCTGTGTCTGTGTCAGGAAAGAAAAAGCCCACTAGGAGGGAATGCTTTCCATTCCAGAACATCCTATCCTGCCTCCCAAACACACCTGACTGTACAGATGGGCCCAGAAGATGAAAGACACAAACAGTTGAAGTGTTTCTCTTGCAGACTCTCCCAGAAACCAGTGCTTCAGAAGAGGCAAAGAAGCAGTGTCTTTATCGAAACGTGTAATTTGTCTGCCAAAGTAAGATGTTTTCAGATGAGAAAACATGTGAATAAGGTCACACAGGAAGACATCAGGCTCACAGAAGGGGCACATGGGCGGGAGACAGACAGATCTGACCTCCAGCTGAGGAGAAGGGAAATGTTACTATTGGAGTGTGTGTGTAAAAACTGGGTGTTTTTGGAGGAGGGAAGTAGCTGTCAGCAGGCAGGGAGGGGCTGGCTGCAAAAATACACTGAAAACACTTGCACATACCTGCACCGTCTCACACACACTGCTTCACAAGAACTAAAGTAACATGGTGGTGGTTTTTATATTGTATGTTAAACTAAAAACAACTATTCCTATCGCTTAAAACTGTTGTTAAGACGAGTACTACTGTATATTTATGGCCACTGTCACAACCTAATGAGACGTCGGGCTCAGGTCTACAGTGTCATCTGCTAACCAGGCAAATAAACGCGCCATCGGCTTACTACGGTTACAACCAAGCTGCAAGGAGTGTAGGGGGAGTGCAATACCTGCAGATACCGTTACACTGGTCTATACACCAGGAGGTAATGCGATAGCAAACAAGCCTACACACACACACATACACACAGACACACACTCTGAATAAAACATGAGGTGGCTACCAGCTGTCTTTGAGGCAGAGTGAGACCTCAGTTAGTCTGCAAGTTCTGCCAAGAAGTTTGTGTTTGTGTCATCAAGTAACATGACAGACAGATGACAACGTTGACCTAAACACTAGATGTACTCTCAAACAATAAATGAGAGGAAATTTTGCACAACATTCAATTTTAGTTCAATTAGATCTAGTGGTTAATTTTAGAATATGGTTTTCTAGTCCTTTAAAATTATTTACGACACTGTTGGTCAGTTTTTAAAAACTGTTTATTTATATTGTTATATTCAATAACTTATTATTTCAATAAAATGTAATGAAACAGATGTACAAGTGACACAGAAAGGCAATTGTTGTTTTGGTTGATACACAATGTGCCTGGCCAGTAGATTTTCTCATCTCCCAGTCCACTGTCCACATGAGTCTAGTTTGTGTTTGTGTGGCTTTGACAGCGTTGCCTGAGGCCACTCAGCACGGTGCTCATAAAAAGTAGGCTCCCCTGGAGAGGACAGGCCACTTAGAAAAGCACGATTGTTGCATGTAATAGTGATGAAGCAGTAGCACTACATAGGAGATGGTCTTCCCAGAGGATCATTTCTGGCTCCTACAGCATGACATCAGACTCAGCTCCATGATCAATGCAGCTCAACAGCATGTCTGACGTATGACAGCAGTTATAGTAACCACAATTTAAACACAACGGGAACGCTTGTCAGCAGAACGCCAATAAGCCTTCTAAATTTGGCTTTTAATCGACTTATGAATCAGATGTCAATGACGGGTCAGTGTTACTGATCACTGATGGACACCTTCAGATTACTGCAGTTGTTTTAAATGACAGCTTACAGACTGTAAAGAAAAACAGAAAAAAAAAATTGTTGGGTCACATAAAATAGGAAAAAGACAAAAAGAAACAGTTTCATAAAGTTGATTGCCAGTTTAAAGAGTTTTGTGTGGTGTTATAGGCTGATGTCAGCTTTATATTACTAAAACTATCTTGTATCAGACTGTGGTGTACTTTTTTTGTATAACCAGTATTTGAATATACAGAAATGAAACGCAAAGATATTTTGAATAAAGTGAACATCAGTGTCTAATCAAAATGCACTCTCTCTCTGTCTGTCTCACTTTTGTTATGTGAGTGTGCTGGACTGTAGCGCGAGCTCAGATCAATAGATATTCTCCTCCAGCAACATCACCAGCAGGATCTAACACTTAAAACTGACAAGGGATCAATACAGCCTGCTACACTGACCCATTTAGACACACACATACACACCAGGCCCAAATCCATGGCCCACTAACACAGTGGGCTCACATTTCTAATCCCAGATCAATAAAATGGTGGCAGCTAACAGGATATCTGACTTTTACTGAGCCACCAGGTTCTCTGCTCCACAACTTTCTCAACACTTTGATCATAGCCTGCTTTTCTCCTCTGAAGAAGCCTTGGACTTCTTCCTAGCCATTTTTTTTGTACAGCCTAATATTACATAAAATATTCCAATAGGTTTTAACAGGCTGACGCTTGGCAGGCTCTCAATCTAAAAAGCACTTATTGGGATGACAAGTTTCATCCCAATAATCCCATCCCACCCCAAGTTTCTGACATATGATGCATGGAATCAGAAAAGTTAAATAAAGACGTCAGAAAAAAATCTTACAACTGCTGGGCATCGACAGAAAAAAAACCCAACCTCAGGCACAGATATACAGCTTTTAAAGGTCATACATCACTGCAACTATTTAGATGTCTCTTGGCCATTTAAAGTGATCTTATTGCCGTGGTAACACTGGTTGTTGAAATTCAATCAAATTTTTCAGGATGTGTTCTTGAGCTAGACGACCCTATAAAGCTCCTTTCAAACATGCACTCCCCTCTGTTAACCCAGCGGTATCTGAGCACGCCGGCCTCATGACTAAATGAGCACCCTGCTTGCTACCTAAAGTTCAACAGTAATGTTAATGGGTCTGTCCTGGTAAATTTTATGTATCCCTTTCAAAACGACACAAGTCTGAACTGTGTGCTGTGGCATTAATGAATAGGC